CTCTCATGGCGTGGGCCTCCGCAGGCCTCTGGACCCTCCTCGGGAACTGATGGGGGCCCTTTGGCGGGGGGAAGGATGAGGAGGAGGAGGAGGAGGAGGAGGTGGAGGAGGAGGAGGAGGAAGGAGGAGGAGGAGGAGGTGGAGGAGGAGGAGGGAGGAGCCTCGTTGTCTTCTCGCGGCGACGAGGACCCACACCACGAAACGGTGGCTGCCTGCCCTGCCCGCGGAGTGGATCCCCCGAGGCCCCGCAACGGAAGTGGGAAGCAGCGCCCTCCTTGGGGGGGCCTCTCGGCATGGACCGTGGGCGATCCTGGAGGCCTCTCGGGCCGCCGCCCCGGCGACGATCGGGAGGTCTTCTGTACCGGCTCCGCGCGGACGCGCTGCTGCTGCCGGCTCTGGCGCCGCTTTCTTGCCGCCTGCCTGCCAGACCACCCCAAGCCCAACCCGAAGACCCGAATTGTCGGGTTTTGTGGGGGTGCGGGCTTCATGTGTCTTCTTGTCCACGTTCCCCGACCCCCCCCCCAACTGGACATGGAGGGCAGATTGAGGCCTTCAGGCTGGGTTGGGATGGTCTGGTGGGTGGTGACTTTCTGGTTCCGTCGCTGCTCTTTTATTGCCAGTTCTGGTTCCAGTTCCAATTCCCGAGCCGTCTCTGCTACAGTTCCTGCTTGCCGTTGTTGTCGCCGCTTCCACTTTCAGGAGACACTTTTTCGGAAGCGGTGGAAAGACGGCCCTCCACTTCCGGGGCCCACTGAGCTCTGGGCCCTTCCATGCAGGCCCCTGCCTTCCAACCCCCGCTCTCTGACAGGGCCGCCTCCCTCGCGTGGACCCCCTCGTGCGCGCCGCCCATCCCTGCCGTCGTCTCCGAGGCCAGCTTTTGCTCACCTTCGCCGCCTCGGCAATCGCTGTCCCAGGGCCCCAGGAGGCAGTATAACCGAGATAGGTCTCTCATACACACACCCGGAAAAAATACTGCGGTTAGGATACCCGCGGGCAGGATGAAAGACCTGCGGCTCTATGTTTGCGGCCAGAGGTCTCTATGCCCAGGGACACTGCCACCCCCTAGGCGGGCAGTGTGCTGAAACTCCGACCTCGGCCAACGATGCGACGCGTGCCTTCGGGCTCGCTCCTCTTCCCTCGGCCCTGCCCGCCGCGCGAGGCACGGTGCGGGCTTTCGCCCGATTGCCGAGGGACGGGGGGTGGGGATTCTGATCGGGGTGATGGTCGGGCACGGCTGGAAGCCTCTCTGACGGGATGGTAGAGGGAAACAATTACCGAACACTCCCCCTCCCCCCAAAACTCAAAGTTGGCACGCGCGCAGGAGACTGCGGTCGGAGTACAACTCATCCAGACCCACCGCCAACTCTTAACACGGGGGGGGGGAGAAGTGGGGAGGCGTTGACAGATGAATGTGGCATGAGTGGTCGCCCTTTTTTTTCCGAGGCCTGGAGGAAGCGTTGTCAGCACTGGCTTTTGAGTTTGACACCTCATCCCTGTGGCTCCCGCAGGGAACCCCCTCACAGCGCTGCGGCTCCAGACGCGCCCCCTCATGCTGCCGTGACCGACCGACCGCCTGACCTCCTCCGCTTCCCCTCCTCTAGGCCCTCCTCCTGGCGTGCCTCTCTGGCCCGCGTCCCACCGAGCTCCCAGCTCTCCCAAGCGGCCCGCACCCCCTCCCGCCCGGGATCCCGCGGTCGTCTCTTCTGCGACCGCTGGCGTGGGCTCTGGCGCAGTCCCCCTATGTCGCATCTTAGAGACTGGATAGTCCACGAGCGCCGCACTACTCCGTCGGAAAGGCAATGCGAATTGATCCCGCCTCTCCCTCTCTCTCCCTCCATTCCTCCATCCGTCTTGATCTCTTCCTCTTCGGCTGTCCCTGTCTCCCTGCCTGTCCATCTGTCTGTCCGTGTGTCTTTATCTGCCTCTGTCTGTCTGTCTGTCCCTATCTCCCTTCTCTCTCTCTCTCTCGCACACTCACCCCTCACTCCCTCTTTCAATCTAGGCTTTGATACATGTGTATATATGTACATATGTATATGTATGTTTATCGCTCTCTCTCTCTCTCTCTCTATCTACCCCACTCACTGTCGATCTAACCCTGTCTCTCTTTATCCTGATATCCCTCCCTGCCTCCCTCCTCTCTCTTTCTCTCTCTGTCTCTCGAACCTTGACTCGAGGACCCTCCGTGGTCTGAGCGCAGCCCAGAGGCGCCTCGTATAGTTCACACGTTTACACTACATAGCTTCTCAACTTGCACCACACGATTTGCATCACATAGCTTGCACCACGTAGCTTCGCGCAGTATATCGAATCTAACTTAAAGAGCGATTCTTTATTTTCGGCGATGACGGGTGTCATGGGGGGGGTGGTCGGGAGGGCATGACGCAACGCCCCCCCCCGCCGCCGTGTGGCTCCGGCACCACAGCCGCGCCCGTGCGCACGACGACGATGGGCGACGAATGACGAGCAACGACGACGACGCGAGAAGCATTTGGGTGGCGATCTGCTCCGCAACGCCGGTGTACACCACAATGTTCGTGTGCACCACGGCGAGCCTGTACAGCACAACGCCTGCGTACACCGCACCAGCCGTGTGCAACGCAGCGCTTGCGTACACCACAATGCTCGCGCGCACCACGGCGCAGGTTTGCACCACAGAGCGCCCAGTGTACACCACGATGCTTGTGTGCACCGCCGCGCCTCTGCACACCATGTCGCCCGTCTGCACCGCAGCATCCGCGTGCCACGCAGCGCTGGTGTACACCACAACGACTGCGTGCACAGGACGGGTAGAAAGAGTCTGTCGGTGAGGATCTGCTGCGGACAGCCAAACGCCATGCCACGGATGTGCTGATAATACAATGCGACGTTCTTCCCTCTTCCCTCCTCAGCCACCTCCACCTCCTCTTCCTCCTCCCCCTTCTCCCTCACCCTTCCCCCTGTCGTGCGGGTCGGCGCTACACCGCACGTGCGCATCTCAGCGTGCATCGCAGAATGGTCTACTGAATCAAGCCAGTTGATTGTTGGACGGCCAATGATGCGGGAGCTTCCTGGACGCAGATGGGAGGAGTTAGGATGATGCGGGCGGACTCGGGAGGACTCGTAAACTCCAGCGGCGCGCCGTTTTCCATAAGGATTCCATTCTCCAAAGCCTGAATCAAATGATTTTTCTGTTGATCCACAGGCGCTCGATTCTGTCATAAGAACTCCTTCTAAAATTCAATATGTGCAACAGTGGCGCTCTGTTGCACATGGTTGCTGTGGTGCACACGGGCGCCCTGGTGTACACTGGCGTTGTAGCGCACGCAGGCATTGTGTACACTGGTGCTGTGTTGCGCACGGCTGACGTGGTGTACACATTCGCTGTGGTGTACGCTGGCGCTGTGGTGCCCGCAGGCACTGTGGCGCGCACTGGCGCTGTGTTGCGTTCGATTGCTGTGGTGCACATCGGCGGCGTGGTGTTCACAGGGGCGCCGTGGTGCACGCAAGCACTGTGGTGTACACATGCGCTGTGGTGCAGATCGCCGCCTACATGGTGCTGCTACCCGTCCTCGGTCACCTAGGCATTCCCTGACGCCGCCGGCGCGAAATTCGACGTCATCGGCCCCCTCCATCCCTATCCCCACCACATGATTGCCGTCATCGGCCCGGAATCAAAAAAACAGGCTCCAGCCGCGTCCGCGCGAACGACGACGACGAGCGCCGAGCGACGAGCGACGAGCGACGACGACGACGACGACGACGACGACTGCGGACCAAACTCCCATGCGGATTCCTATGCGGACGCCTATGCGGACCCCGATGCGCACGGCGGCAGTGCCCACAGCGCGCCGGGGGAGGGGGAGCGTTACGTCATACGGGGGGTGGGCGGGGGCCATGACGCCCGTCATGCCCCGAGCAATAATCTGGAAACGCTCTCTTATACAATATAGCTTACACCACACAGCTGGTTCCAAGTAGGTCGTATCGGCGGTGGACAAACCTCCCTTTAGCAAAGCTCCCCTTAGTGAAAACGGCCCGGGACCGAAACCGACGGACCTGGACCATCAAGAATGACGGCCGCGAAGCCCTCTCGCGAACCGAAAACGGCCAATTCCTTACTCGACGTGTCAAGGCAGGAGGTCCATCAACCTGCGATCGTATCTAACAACACGAAGGGTACAGATACGGAACGCAATAAGTCAGACATGTGTGTATAAGTATGGGTATTAAAGGAACACGCGCCTGGCAGATGCGTATGTATACGCATACGTCAATGTACACTTATCGTTTGACATCACGTGTCAACGTTACAATGATGCCTCCGTGCAATCCGTCTCTCTACTTGTTGTGCCTACCCGCACGTCTTTCGCAACGAGACCCATCGTCCAGATAGCTAGACCTCATCCCTCCAAGAGCGGCCAAGGAAGGTGAGAAAGACCTTTTGTCTGAGCGCTTGGACACCTTCGGTGCACGTGCCATGCTGGCCCTACGCTGCCGAGGAACGAGAAACGGAGCAAGACCACCACTCCCCTCCCCAGCGAAACCAGCTCCAGCTCCAAACACTCCATAACAGCTCAAAAGCACACTCGCCACTACATGGGCTCTACATTTGCAACGACGCGCGCGCTCGTGTCACGTGCGCAGATTCATTCTGGCAGACCGAGGCCCGACGAACCGTGCACCGGCAGCGGGGCACAACGGAAACAAGTCGCATGCCCGACCTGCACGGCGACATAACGGGTGCAGGTCCGTAGACGCAGGGCGGGCAGGCAATAGATCAGAGAAAACCGCAACTATGGAACCACGGGAAGATACAGGTGCAATGCCGTTCAGAAGTGTGTAGATGTCTCGCGAGTTGCTGCAACGCCATGTCTGCAGCGACATCTGCGCATCCACGACTTCTACTAAATCGGAGCCGCTCATCCTTACATAACATATGATGGAAGCTTGAGGCGCTGCTATGGCTCACAGGGGACGGCATGAGGCCTCCCTCGGCCCAGGCGCGAGTAGACTTTCTCGCGAGGCAGCGCGCGCCTAGCGGTACTCGTAAGTGACTTCCAAGATGTTGAGACTGCTTGACTCGGTCGTTGGCCGCTGCTCGCTCCAGGGCCCATCCCACACGCCCTCGAAGGTCGCCACCTCTCCGAGCTTGAGCCGCCACGTGCTGACGGGAGCCTTGGGGACCTCCTGGACGGAGGACGGCTGGCCCCAGACGCCCAGACTCGCCACCTTGCAGCAGCCGAAGCCGGCGATCGCCTCGTCGCCCTCCGCCTCCCCGGGCGCCAGCTGCAGCTGCACGGCCTGGGCCGAGTCGTGCCTCGAGCCGAGCGGCTGCATTCTCGAGCTGAGCGGCGGCTGGGGCGGACACGGGTCCGCACCCTCCAGGGGCGTGATTGGACTCGGCTGCACACGGGCCAGGCCGCTCGGCACCGCGGGCACGTCGCTCGGGTCGCTGATGCCGCAGCCGCCCTTCTTCCTCTTGCGCCCACACCCCCTCGACTGCCGCACGCAGAAGCAGAAGACGCAGAATACTGCGACGCAGAGCGATATCAACACCGCCAACATCTTGTTGTACGAAGGCGCCCGGTAGGTCGCCGAGTCGGACGCAGTCGTGGTCCCAGCGACTGCAACGTACGCCAAGGTGGCTTCCAGGACGCTGACGCCAAAGACGGTAAAGTTGCGTGCCCCCTGGGCCAGCTCGAGCGCCAGGTTCGTCTCCAGAGCATCCCCTGCCTGCAAGAATTCGTGCGCGGACAGGCCCGCGGCGAGCGCACTCGCAGCTGGCAGGGTGGCCTCGAAGGATACCTGCACGCCAGCCGAGCCAGCGCCAGCCTCGACCCCGGCCGCCGTGGAGAGAAGTCGCCCTTCGAAGACAACACTCGTGATCTCGACATCGTCAGGCGTCGCGGTGGGAAGCACGGCCGCGATGCCTGAAGCGAGCGCTGCGCTGACAGCGCTGTCACCCTGATCGAAGGCGCGGGCAAAGTCGGCAGGCTCCGAAAGGAACAGGGAAAAACCGCCAATGAGGACGGCGACTGCGGCAGGAGCTGTGGTGGTGGTTGTGGTGGGCGTCGGACTCACATTGGTGGTGGCGACTGCGGCTGGCGATGTGGTGGTGGTCCGTATGGGACTCGAAGTGGCCGTGGCGGTAGTGGGGATTGCCATGCAGGTATTCGGACACTTCTCCATCGCTTCTGGCATACCGCAGTTCACCATGCCGCAGTACCACTCCTCTGTCGTCGTAGCTGTGCCGGTCGAGCTGGTGGTCGATATGACAGTCTTGGTGACTGTAGTTTTGATTGTCGTGACCGAACTGGTCGGTGTGACAGTCCTGGTGCCTGTGGCGCTGACTGTCGTGACCCAGGTGGTGATCGATGTGGCAGACCCAGTTGCTGTTGTGCTGAGTGTCGTGGCCGTCGGTGTCAAAGTCCCCGTGAGCGTCCCGCTTGTCACCGTGCCCGTGGTTGCTGAGACGGTCGCGGAGGTGGCGGTCGTCGTCGTGGCGCAACTGCAAAGGCAGATCTGTTGCGTCTCCTCCAGGCCGCAGTCGAGGTACGCACAGTACCACTCATCGCCTTGGAGGGAACAAAAAGATACCGACAACGCTGCTGCCGGGACCTCCTCTGGGATGCGTTCGACCAGGACTCCGACGCAAATCTGGCCGTGGCGAGGACCAGCCCCCGGGGAGGCACGAACAGAAGGTAACAAGGGAACCCAGACCCCCGACGTAATGATTTTTTCATTACGTCGACCCCCAGAGGTCCCGACCCTTTCCCCATGACCGGCTTTGCATCCTGAGTCGTTTTTTGACGCTCCCGAGGCTGGGTGAGGGCCCCCGGAGGCCGAAAATTAGGAAAAACCTCCCGTCATGATTTTTCATTACTCGAGGGGATCTGGGAAGCTTGCATCCGTGGCCAGGACTACCCTGGGGCCCGGGCCCTACGACGGCGCACGGCTCCTCCTGGGATCGGCCAAGAGGGCGAAGCCACGCCCGACCGCCCGCCCGGTCGCCCGCCCGCGCGCCCGCCTCCTCCCCCCCTCGCCCGCCCGCCCGGTCGCCGATGCATGTAAAGGGGGCCCCAGGACACGCAAATTAATAGACACAAATAAAAAATAGTCCCCATACTTTCCCATATCTTCTGGGTTTTTGTCTTCCCCCCCACTTCCCATCTTTTTCCCACATTTTCTGGGGATCGACGATTGATTGTGTCCGTGTGTTTCTTTTCCTCCTGAGCTGCGTCCGCAGCGTGGGCGATGCATCGGCGACGTCGGCGTGGAGACCGCCGCGCGGCACACGCCGCGCCGCGCCGCCCGCATCGGCCTCGGGCGGTGCCGCGCGGACCCCCCCCTGGGGGGGCAAGGCCCGGAGCTCCACCGCGCGCGCGCCTCTTTCCGCCCCCGCGGCCTCCGCACACGGCCGCCAGGGCCTCACGCGCCGCTCCGCCGCCCCGCCCCGACGCCGGGGCGGCCGCCCCCGGCGCGGCGCCCGCGCCCGCGGCGGCCCGCGCGAGGGCGGCGAGCGCCGCCAGGGCCCGCGCCGGGGGGGCGCGGCGCCGCGCGGCATGCGCGGCGCGGGGGCCGCCGCCGGCCGCCCGTCGCAGGAGGGCGCCGGCTGCGGCGGGGGGCTTTTGGTGCTCTGCGCGCCGCGGCGGCGGCCCCGGCGAGACGCCACACGCCCTGCGGGCGGGCAGCGCGTCGCTCCCGCGGGGCGGGGGGCGGGGAGCAAGGCCCGGGGCGTGGACGCTCGGGGGCTGGGGGCGTGGGTGCAGTCGGACCTGCAAGCCAGAAGGACACCCCCCAAGAACACATGGGACCCTCCGCCGGCCAAAACACACGCACACACACACACACACATCCACACACACACATCCACACACACACACACACACACACATCCACACACCCACACACCCACGCACCCACGCACGCACGCACGCACGCACGCACGCACGCACGCACGCACGCACACGCACACACGCACACACGCACACACGCACACACGCACACACGCACACACGCACACACACACCACACACACACACAGAACGTCCTAGGGCAATTACCCTCCCCGAGGTGCACAGGAGCAGCCAACAAACACGAAGAGCGCCAGGGTGCCCTCCCCGAAGCGACCTCGACCTTCTACCTCGGTCCGGCTGCATACCGCGTCGCGCTGCCGCGTGGTCGGCCAGAGCTGGCGGAGCGGCCCGCCGAGCCGAAAGCAGCTCCTGACGGGGCACGCCTACACCGCTCCTGGCCGGGCTCTCCTCCTCCTCCTCCTCCTCCTCCTCCTCCTGCCTCCTCCTCCTCCTCCTCCTCCTCCTCCTCCTCCTCCTCCTCCTCCTCCTCCTCCTCCTCCTCCTCTGGGCCCAGGATCGGCGCATGCACCCGCTCCTCCTGGCTGGGGCAGGAGGGCACTTCGGGCGGGTGGCAGCTCGCCGTCGCTCGGGCGTCCGCTCCCCGTGCCTTGCTTCGACTCCGTGCGTGCTCTTCTTCTCCTGTTGCTCGCTGCTCTATAGGATGCTCCCTGATGGTCCTCGCCGAGGAAAAATTGAGGAATGGAAAAACTACCCTACCCTGGGTTACAAGTGCGTGGTCTGTAAACCTCCTGGGAACCCCCAAAGCCTAGAGCCGCCAGGGCGCGGCACACTACGCAGGGTCTACCCTGTCAGCCCACAGGATTTTCAGCGCACAGCGCCTCGCAAACCAGGGTAGGGGCGTTTTTTTATGCCCTTGAAAAAAGGCACACGTGCGAACGATTCCCAGGTAATGGGGGTGGCCTACATGGGGGGGGAGAACAGGGCCCCTTCAGGGCCCTTTTTCTTCCACCCCCCCTGTAGGCCGCGGCCCCCCTTCCCGCCCGCTCGAGCATGCGGCAGTCCTGGGCCCGTTGTCGGCCTGGCCATGGCCGGTGTAGGTGGACGGTCGGTTCCTGCGGCGTCGGCGCGCGCAAAGAACTTTGACACCGCGTCGATCGTTCAACTTTGAAGCAATCGCGGCCCCGATCGTTCAATGTTGCAGTCCGTCGGGTCGTTGCCGTGCCCCTCAGCGCTTCCACGTCGTTCTATCATACGGAGTTCAACCTTGAACACCTTCGCAGGCGTCGCTGGCGCGCCATCGCTGCATGAACCTACAGTGAAGGCCGGACCACAAGACACCCTCCACAAGAACCCCAACCCTGAGACCCCAGGACCCCCGTGGATTCTTGGCACGGGAACTTCACGCCTCCCGCGGCACAGCCATCGAAACCCACGAAACCCAGCACACCCTGGAGGCAAGCAGGGTGTTTCTTGGCGTGGGCCGCCCCTGGTAAGGCCTCACTCTCCGCTACCCCCAATGTTTGCAGGGCTACTATTACATTATGCTGTCATATCAATGTTGATGCGTTGTGGCTCTATTACAAAAAAATCCAACGCCACTTGGTGGTGAGTGTGTGTGTGTCTCCCCGAATAGCACGGGAAACCGTGGGTTGATTTCGCCTAGCAGCGTCGGTAAACAAGGCCCTACCAGCCGCCCCTGTACCGTCTGCTTGGTGCCCTCCGATATCGGGGCCCACGGCTCCACGGCACGCGCGCGCGCGGGCGCCCCGGCCGGCGCACGCGCGGAGCGCGCGAGGCGCGCCGCCGGCCCAGGGCAGGGCGCATGAAGAGGCCCTGGGCCCTTTCGAGCCGACGTGGGCGGAGCGGCAGATCGGCGGCGCGCGACGGGGGGGGGAGGAGGAGGAGGAGGAGGAGGAGGAGGAGGAGGAGGAGGAGGAGGAGGAGGAGGAGGAGGAGGAGGAGGAGGAGGAGGAGGAGGAGGAGGAGGAGGAGAAGGAGAACGAGGAGGAGGAGGAGGAGGAGGAGCAGGAGCAGGAGGAGGAGGAGGAGGCGGGCCTGCGCAGGAGGCTCGGGAGGGCCTGCCCGGCCTTCGGAGCGGAGGTCCCTCCGCGAGGCCTTCCCCGCCCCCGCATGGGGCGCTGCCCAGGAGGCCGAAAGGGGGGGGGGGGGTCCGAGGAGCCCCGCCGCCCTCTGAGGGAGGGCCTGCTCCTTCGCACCGCCCTCCCCTCGCTCGCCGCCGAAAGAAAACAGGGGACGGCCGGGCGAGGCGAGGCGAGGCCGCTCCGCGCGTGCGCCCGGCGCGCCTCCTCGGGAGCTCGGCGGCAGGGCCGCGGCCCCCGGCAGAGGTCGTCTGTGCAGCGTCTTCTCGGCCCGTGGGCTGGAGGATGGCGGGGACAGCCAGCGGCCACAACCACATCGAGGACATTACCCTGGGGGATGCCTTGCGCATGCCAAGGGCTGTCGGGACACAGGAACCAGCTCCGTGCTGCTTGTGGTCGATGTGCTGCCCCGGGACGGCCAACTCGACCACAACCGCCACCAGAATGCTCGTGTCGAGGTCTGAGGGTTCTCCCCCGAGGAGCCCTCCCGGAGAATCCACTTTGTTGTGCTTGTGGCTCTTTGTGTAGAGGTCTCCTAGATGGGGTCGGAGTAGATGGGGTCGGAGGATCGTGCCGCATCGGCGCTGCATCGGCGACGTCGGCGAGGCATCGGCGCTATCGGGGTGGAGAAAATCGGGCTCCACATGGAGCCGCATCGCCGATGCATCGCCGATGCGGCGCGATCCTCCGACCCCATCTACTCCGACCCCATCTTGGAGGTCTCAGGATGGAGGGTGGAATGTTCAGCAGGGACCGAGCGGCCCGGCATCTCTATAGGCCTACCACGAAATGTTCTTAGAACCCGAATATGCTCGAATAAACAAAATCGATGTTCTTAGAGCAAAAGCCCGATGTGTTGAAACAAGACAGCCCTGGCCAGAAGTGTTCTAATAACACTTCGTGCAGACCGCAAAAGGTTCGTAGAGCACTGCTTGGCAGGTCTATGGGCACGCCATGACACTTCGCCGCTGCTTGAGGAATGGGAGAAGAATCGTTTCCAGCTCAGGCAGGGGCCCTCTGGCGGGCACGACGCCCGGCCCGCCTGCAGCCGAGGTCCTCGGAGTGTGTAGAGGCCTCCTAGATGGGGTCGGAGTAGATGGGGTCGGAGGATCTCGCCGCATCGCCGATACATCGACGATGTATCGGCGATGCATCGGCGATGCATCGGCGATGTGCCGGCGATGCATCGACGACGTCAGCGATGCATCGGCGACGTCGGCGCGGGGAAACACGGGCTCCACATCGAGCCGCATCGCCGATGCATCGGCGATGCGGCGTGATCCTTCGACCCCATCTACTCCGACCCCATCTAGGAGGCCTAGAGTGTGCTCGCCATGGGCGCCCCGATCCGCACGCGAGCCTGCGCTCTTGAAGGCTGCAGGCCTGCGTGCTGGTCGGCGCACGCCGTCGGCGGCGCGCCGGGGGGGAACCATGGGAGAGGGCGGGCCTCCTCGGAGGGCTCGGAAGGCCTCCGGCCTCGTGAGAAGATTTCGGAGTCTTCCCCAAAGCGCACAGAACACCTCTGAGAAGGCGCGAGGGCTTCTGAGAAGTCCCGCCGCCTTCTGAGGAGGCCTTCTTCTTCTTCTCATGGAAGCATCGGGGAATCGCCTGGAGCAGGAAGGCCACAATCATAACGGGCACGGCACCGCATCTGATTCCACATTTGCGTTTGTTCCACCATTGCTGTGGCCCCCCTTCTGTCGTCGGGGCCCCGAACGAGCATCACAAAAACCAGAGTGACCAATATCGCCGTCATCACTCCCACTTGTCTCGCATTTGATGTTGGAGCTTTCCTGTACGACACCTGACTGCCCACCAGCGCCCTTCGAAGCGACGCTGGCGGTGTAATCAGGGCAGACACAGGATGCGTGCCATCGGTGATGCTGTGCGGAATAAATTTGTTTTCGTCGTCGGCGAGACGGAGGCAGTCCGCTCCTGCATGAGGCTATTCGGGGCAACCGAAAGGCTGATTGTCTGGCGTGCGCGAGGGAGGGAGAAGGCGAGGGCGGCCGCGCGGGGGGAGGAGGAGGGCGAGCGGGGTAACACACAGACACACACACACACGCACACACACAAACACACACACGCACACACACACTGAGCTAACTTACACACGTCCTGATCGGAGGAGGGCCAGTTGAGACAACGGCGGCTGTCCTTGTGGATACCATGATAATGGACGCTCGAGCAATTTTATCATTGAGTTAAAGATGTCCTTTAATGTGTAAAACATGTTCTAAACATGTTTCACACATGTTTTTGTTTATATTTAAAACATGTTTGAAACATCTCTTAGACATCTGGAAAATTGTTTGGCAGCATGCTTCCTCTCCATTCATCGACTTCCACAAGGCTGTCCCGTCTGGCACCGATTCGTGCAAAATCGGTCCCAAGACCCTCCTCGCGGGCCCATCCTGTTGCAAAAATTGTCCCGAGGCGCCTCCGGCCGTGGCCACGAGAAAAGCCCCCGGGAGGCCCAACAAAGCCGCGAAGAGCGCCAAGGAGGGTCGCCGCTGTCTCAACTTGTCCTCCTCTTCCTCCTCCTCCATATCCTCGTCCTCGTCCTCCTCCTCCTCCTCCTCCTCCTCCTTCTCCTCCTCCTCCTCCTCCTCCTCCTCTTCGTCCTCGTCCTCCTTCTCCACACCGTCAGAAGCCTCGAGCCTCGAACCCTCCGCGCCCCTGCAGAGGAACGAAGCGGCACCGATACCAGCACTGCCAGGACCTCTCCCGGAGTGCGTCCTGACGAAAACTTCGAGGAGAATCCAGCCGTGGCGACGAGGGCCTCCCACGACCCTCGTCAAACTGATCCTCAAACATGTCCTACGTGGCTGAACTGTTTGTGGGGAGATACTGGGCAGAGCAGCGATGGCTGCGAGGTACTTGTGTGCGCCGCCCCTCCAATGTCGGTCATCATCGAACTTCCGAGTCGTTCCCGGTCAGACCACCTTTGCCCTGGCCCCGACATTGGAGGGGCGTCTATCGACATTGAAGGGCGCACCGACATCGCAGGGGCGTGTTGGCCACTTCTGAGGTTAATTTTGACGAGGGTAGCAGGAGGCCCAGAGAGGCCCAAGCGAGGGAAGGGCACGAGAGGCGAAGACCAGACGGAGCGAGCCCAGACGCAGGCGGCGCACTCCGAGTGGCCCTGCTCCGTCCGCACTGGGCCGCCTCTCGGGAGAGAGGCGGAGCCCGGACGGAGGAGGCCCGGACGGAGACCAAGCGCCCCCCCGCATGGACGTATACTCCGTGTGGGCTTCGCCTCGCCCGAGAGGCGCGCCGCCGACCCGCCGCAGCAGGGCGCGGGATATAAATAAGGACGCGAGGGCCTCTGACGCCCGCCTCGGAGCTTCCCGAGCGGGGCGCACTTCCCACGAGGGCGGCCGAGAGGAGGGGCCGAGGAGGCGGGGAGGCAGAGGGGAAGCCTTGGGAAGGCTGCCCACCCCTGCTGCGCGCTCCTCCTCCTCCTCCTCCTCCTCCTCCTCCTCCTCCTCCTCCTCCTCCTCCTCCTCGGTTGACTGTCCCCAGACCATCTCTTCAGCTAGTGTTGGATTCTCCTCCTGTAGAGGGGCATGCCCGACTGAAGCCCTGGTGCCAGCCCGCGGGCGCCTCGTGGGCACCTGGCACGGGTTCCCCGGGGGCCGTGGGCGACCCGAGGAGGAGGGGGAGGAGGAGGAGGAGGAGGAGGAGGAGGGGGAGGAGGAGGAGAGGAGGAGGAGGGAGGAGGAGGGGGAGGGAGGAGGGAGGAGGAGGGAGGAGGAGGAGGAGGAGGCCAAGGGGAACCCTTGGGAAGGCTGCCCATCCCTACTGCGCGGGTTGATTGCCGCGGCCGTCTGGGGGTTCAGGCGGGGCCTCCAGATCTCCGGGGGTGGGTGGGCGCGGCGGCCCGGGCCGCGGCGGCGGCGAGGTGCCCCTGCCCCCCGCTCCCCCTCACGAGCGGCGACCGTCTCCGTATCCGCGCCCTCGAATCGGGCGATCCTCCCTCCTCCCTCCTCCTCCTCCTCCTCCTCCTCCTCCTCCTCCTCCTCCTCCTCCTCCTCCTCCTCCTCCTCCTCCTCCTCGCGCGGCCACCGTGGTCGTGCGGCGGCGCCGCCGCCGGCGCAGCCTCCGGGGCCGCCGCACCTCTGGCCGCGGCGTGGCCCCCTCTGGCCAACGGCCGAAGACCGTCCACCCCTGCCGGTCGTCGTCGTCGTCGTCGTCGTCGTCGTCGTCGTCGTCGTCGTCGTCGTCGTCGTCGTCGACGCCGTCGCTGTCGTCGTGGCCGCCGCCGCCGCCGCCACTGTCGTCGTCGTCGTCGTCGTCGTCGTCGTCGTCGTCGTCGTCGACCTCGTCGTCGTCGTCGTCGTCGTCGTCGCCGTCGTCGGGTCCTGAAGTTCTTCGCCATCAGAGATCGACTCAGGAGGAAGACCTGGTCCTGGGGGAAGGCCCCAGGGTCCAGGACACGTTGCCCTCAGGGCAGGCTCCCCCCATGCTACGTATAAAGAGGTCAAGGAACATGTGGTCGACGGTGGAAGTCTTCGGATCCTCCTCACCGTCCTCCTCCTTTTCGGACATTCCTCCCTCTCCCCGTCCTCTTCCTCGTCCCCCGTCCCCTCCCCGTCCTCCGTTACGTTTCGGACCGCGAGAGCCAGATGGTGCGAGACGGTCAGGTGCCAGTCAAAGCAAGCGGCGGGGTGCACTGGAGGCGAGTCGAGGCTCCCAGGCACCTGGGGTCCCCATTGGTTCACCGTATCTGGTGCACCTGGCGGGGCTGGAGCATGTGGCACAGTTGGCGCACGTGGAGCATGTGCAGCACCTGGCACGCTTGGGCCTCAAGGGTGCTTGGTGCACACTTGAAACCGTGGCGCGCTTGGCATGTGTGGTGTTCCTAGGCGATCTGCTGACACTCGGGTGTTACTTATGTGTTGGGAGGGCGGGTGGGAGTGAGCTAGGCGACCTGCTAGCTAGGAGGGTAGATTGACCCCTCCCCCTACCCCTTATCCACGGTCTGGACGGGGGGGGTCCCGAGAGTGCCCAAAAGACAAACAATTATTCACTGCGTGGTGCTCTCTTTATGTGCATCTATTTGCATGGACCTGTCTACCGTGAGCGTCTAGGTGCAAGGGGTTTCGAATATGAACGGGCTTGAGGTATACACGAGTTGAGTGTAAGTGTCAGTTGGTCTAGGTATGAGTCTGAATACAAGTGGACCTGAGAATGCGTAAGTCAGAGTCTGCGTGAGTCAGAGTGAGAGTATAGTGAGTTTGAGTGCGAGTAGGTTTGGGTGTGAGTGGGTCTGAGTATGAGTATAATGGATACGAAAATGAATATGAATGGGTCTGGGTACGAGTGGGCCTGACAATGAGTGAATATGAGGGTGGGTTGGTTTGAGTGTGAGTGATTATGAGTGTAGGTAAGTCTGAATTTGAGTGAGTCTGAATCTGAATATGATGAGTCTGCGTCTGAGTCTGAGGGAATCTGAGTACGAGTGAGTTTGACTAGGAGTGAGTCTTAGGGTGGGTGGGCCTAAGTGTGAGTGAGTCTGAGTGTGAATGAATATGAGCGTGAGTGAGTCTGAGTATGGGTATGATGATTACGAGTCTAAGTATGAGTGGGTCTGAGCCCGAGTGAGTTTGAGCAGAAATGCGTCTGAGACATCCTCTCAAGCTGGGCCAACCTGCCGTAATATCACCCGCTTGTTTTGTTATGTTTGCTTGTCTCCTCCCAGATATGAGCTGATACTTCCTTGTGGGTCATCACGAAAAAAACAATGTGACTCCTCACAGAACAAAGTTTGGCGGAGCCCAAAAATACCGATACCGCTACTCCCCCGACCTCTCCCGGGACGCGTTCTGACCAGGATCTCGAGGCGAATCCAGCAGTGGCGACGAGGGCCTCCAGGGAACCCCCAAAAATCGAACACAATGGAAGGGTAGCGGTATGGGTCCTGTTCCCAAGCCTCCGACGTCGCGATTCTTCCTTGACGTCGACCCCCAGAGGTCCGGACCCCTTCCCCCGGACCCGCTTCTCCTCCTGCATTCTCTTGACGGTGCCGAGGCCCGGGTAAGGGCCCCCCGGGGGCCGAAGATAGCGAAAAGCCGCTCGTCGTGACTTGTTCACAGGGCCAAACAAATTCCAGCGGCCACCAGAGTTTTCTGGCGGGGGGAGTAGGGAGGAGGGACGGGAGGAGCAGAAAGGAGGAGCAGCAGGGGAGGAGGAGGAGGAGGAGGAGGAGGAGGAGGAGGAGGAGGAGGAGGAGGAGGAGGAGGAGGAGGAAGAGGAGGAGGAAGAGAGGAGGAGGAGGAGGAGGAGGAGGAGGAGGAGGAGGGGGTCTGGGTTCCTCCTCTGGATGCCATGCCCGTGCGGCGGCGGCGGCGGCGGCGGCGGCGGCCGCAGCGGAGGCCCCCGCGCGCTCGCCTCTGGCCGCCGCGGGGGGCCCCGCCGCCGCCGGCGAGGGCGAGGCGGAGCTCGCCGAGGGCGCAGCGCCCGCGGGCCGCTCGTCCTCGGGCGGGCGCGGCGGGGCGCTCGTCTGCGGGGGCGCACAGGGGCACTTTTTTGTTACCTGCGCGAGAGGGTCGCCCCGTGGCCAAGGAAGGGAGAGGAGAGCAGCAGGGGAGGGGAGGAGAAGAAGAGGAGAAGAGAGGAAGAGGAGAAGAGGAGAAGAAGAGAAGAAGAGGAGAAGCAGAGGCACACGAAGCCTGCATGTCCTCCTTGGAGGCGCGCGTCCGACCCGAACACATGTAGCACTGCCCATCCGAAGGGGCCTGAGAACACACAAAGAAATACACACCAATGAAAGGATTCCCCATATTTCCCCAGATTTTCTGGATTTTCGTCTTCCCCCCCACACTGCCCATATTTTCCCACATTTTCCTGGGGGTCGACGATTAATTGTGTCTGTGTGTGTTTTTCCCCTCCTGACCATCTTGCAGCAGGTCGTTGCCCGAGCGGCGTGGCCAGACAGCGCCCGCCACGAGGCTCGTGCTACACGATTTCTCGGCGCGCGCGCCGCCTCTGGGGGGACGATGCACACATTCAGTCAAAAACCCAAATAAGGACGCGCGGTAAGGACGCAAGACCCTTGGAAGCCGAAGTTGGGATTGTTGGGGGCGGCGGGCGACGAAAACCTCAGGGACGCAAGAGCAGGGAAGAGCAAGGACGCAAGGGTACCCTGAGCAAAGTCGCGCGTCCTTATCAGGGTTTTTCCCAACCATCCTGTTGTGTTGGGTCCTCGTTTTGAAGAGACGGTGCCCCGCGTTCCTCTCCTTCCTCCTCCTCCCCCTCCTCCCTCCTCCCCCTCCTTGCCTCTGCTCTCGGCACACCTCTCACACGTTTCGTAGCCCCATAGGGAACTCCACCGAAGGCCCCAGTGGGGGTGTCCACATGCGGTTCCCCCACCCAGGGCAGCGTTTCGTAGCCCCAGAGGGAGCTCCACCGAAGGCCCCAGTGGGGGTGTCCACATGCGGTTCCCCCACCCAGGGCAGCGTTTCGTAGCCCCATAGGGAGCTCCACCGAAGGCCCCAGTGGGGGTGTCCACATGCGGTTCCCCCACCCAGGGCAGCGTTTCGTGGCCCCATAGGGAGCTCCACCGAAGGCCCCAGTGGGGGTGTCCACATGCGGTTCCCCCACCCAGGGCAGCGTTTCGTAGCCCCATAGGGAGCTCCACCGAAGGCCCCAGTGGGGGTGTCCACATGCGGTTCCCCCACCCAGGGCAGCGTTTCGTAGCCCCCATAGGGAGCTCCACCGAAGGCCCAGTGGGGGTGTCACATGCGGTTCCCCCACCCAGGGCAGCGTTTCGTAGCCCCATAGGGAGCTCCACCGAAGGCCCCAGTGGGGGTGTCCACATGCGGTTCCCCCACCCAGGGCAGCGTTTCGTAGCCCCATAGGGAGCTCCACCGAAGGCCCCAGTGGGGGTGTCCACATGCGGTTCCCCCACCCAGGGCAGCGTTTCGTAGCCCCATAGGGAGCTCCACCGAAGGCCCCAGTGGGGGTGTCCACATGCGGTTCCCCCACCCAGGGCAGCGTTTCGTGGCCCCATAGGGAGCTCCACCGAAGGCCCCAGTGGGGGTGTCCGCATGCGGTTCCCCCACCCAGGGCAGCGTTTCGTGGCCCCATAGGGAGCTCCACCGAAGGCCCCAGTGGGGGTGTTCGCATGCGGTTCCCCCACCCAGGGCAGCGTTTCGTGGCCCCATAGGGAGCTCCACCGAAGGCCCCAGTGGGGGTGTCCACATGCGGTTCCCCCACCCAGGGCAGCGTTTCGTAGCCCCATAGGGAGCTCCACCGAAGGCCCCAGTGGGGGTGTCCACATGCGGTTCCCCCACCCAGGGCAGCGTTTCGTAGCCCCAGAGGGAGCTCCACCGAAGGCCCCAGTGGGGGTGTCCACATGCGGTTCCCCCACCCAGGGCAGCGTTTCGTAGCCCCATAGGGAGCTCCACCGTAGGCCCCAGTGGGGCTGCCCTCATGCGGTTCCCCCACCCAGGGCAGCGTTTCGCAGCCCCAGAGGGAGCTCCACCGTAGGCCCCAGTGGGGGTGCCCGCATGCGGTTCCCCCACCCAGGGCAGCGTTTCGTGGCCCCACAGGGAGCTCCACCGAAGGCCCCAGTGGGGCTGCCTGCATGCGGTTCCCCCACCCAGGGCAGCGTTTCGTAGCCCCATAGGGAGCTCCACCGAAGGCCCCAGTGGGGGTGTTCGCATGCGTCTCCACTACCCAGAGGTAGCGCCGCCGAAAACGATATTCACACTTGCGGTATTCACAGTTGCATATGGTTGGGTCCTTCGCCAGGCTAATTGACTGTACACGTCGTTCATTTCTAATCGTGCTCCTTTCTAATCGTGCTCGCTTCTGTTTGTTCCTGGCCCCCTCGTGGCCGGGAAGAGGCCCCCGGATAGAAGAATTCGAAGTGAAAGGCTCTTGGCCCACCCAAGAAATTAAATACGTTTCGGAGAATCAGACATGAGCAGTGTGCAGTGTCAGCTTGTTGGGGTGGCGCCGGTCTGCGGCCGCCCGCTCCCCCAGAAGCCCCGCGCCCGGGCGAGGCTCGAGGCGGCCAGTGCGCCTGCGCTCCCGCGGCAGGAGCGAAGACGCAGCCAGGATTAAGTCGGGCGTGTCCCCCTACAGGGGGATTTTGGATGAAGAATATAAATACTCCAAAAATATTCCAAAATTGTCAAGAAATGCTCAAAAAATGGTCCCCAGACTATTGTTTGACCATTTTTGAAAGTCCCCCCATTAGAGGGACCCTCCCGACTTAAAGCCAGGACGAGGAGGAATTCGGGTGAGGCTGACTCGAGGACCTCTGAGACCCGGCAGCTCTGGAGGACATTTCGGGCGCCGCCGCCTTCTCAGTGCGTCCTGGATCGCTTTGAGAGTGCTCCGGAACGCTCTCGGACGGATTTTATCCTCGTCCTAGCCCCGTCCGACGAGTTCGCGACCAGTTTGTCACCCTTCTCCATGCTCAGCTGAGCCGCAAAAAAACAGGTAGGTGTGTGTGTGTGTACAGATCGGAGGTGATAGGCTTCATACCCACTGCCCAGGCACGGTGGCGGGATGGGCCGAAGGCAATTCCATGTACACATATGTATACATATACTGATGTAGCGGAGGCAAAGGGGGTCAGATCGCAGTGAAACGGAAGGCCCCACATCGAGAATTCGGTTTCGCTCTCGTGTTCGTGCCGTGTGTGCGGGCGAGGCGAAGCTGCGTGGGCGGGCGAGAGGGAGGAGCCCTCCTCTGGCCCGGGCACTGGCGGGGCACAAGTCCGCCCGCCCATGTGGGCGGGCTGGTGCCAAGAGGGGTCCCGCCGCGGTGTCCCGGTGGTGTCCCGGCGGGGTCCCGTAGTGTTCCGCGGTGGCCCCGTGGTGTCCCGTGGTGCGGTGTCGTGTGGTGTCCCGTGGTGTCCCATGAGGTCGGTAGCGAGGTCGATAGTGGGACCGATCATGAGATCGATCGTGAGATCGATCGTGAGATCGATCGTGGGATAAATCATGAGATTAATCGTGCGATCGATCGTGAGATCGATCGTGAGATCGATGGTGAGACCGACCATGAGATCGATCGTGAGATCGATGGTGAGATCAAGTGTGAGGTCGATGGTGAGAAGGATCGTGAGACCGATTGTGAGATAGCTAGAAAGAACGATTGCGCGATGGATAGTGAGATCGGTTCGAATGATACACATTGTGATATCAATCATGAGATCGATAGTGAGATCGATGGAGTGAGACGTTGGTTCCTCCTCCCCCAAATCATCTTATCGCTCGAAGGGTGGTCGTATAGGTAGGTACGTACGCGTGCATGTTTGTATGTATGTATGTATGCATGTGTATATATGCGTCAACGCATACATGTATCTGAGTATGTATGTATGTACGTATGAATGCATGTGTGCATGGATGCATGCATGCATGCATGCTTGCATGTGTATAGGTGTATCTGTATGCCAACCTGTCTGCATGCATGTACGTGTTTGTCGTGTGAATGTGTACATGCATGTGTATGTATGTATAAGTGTGCCTGCGTGTATGTGTGTATGTATGTCTGTCTGGATGGATGCATGTATGTATGTGCGTATGTGCGTTTGTACATGTGTCAGAATGAGGGGGCCGAACGGTCATTCCCTGTCCCTGGGTGCGTGGCTGAAGTGGAATCCCGCGGTGCGGGATATCGTTGTTGTTGTTGTGATTGCTGTTGTTGTTGTTGTTGTTGTTGGTTGTTGTTGTTGTTTATTTGTTGTTGTTGTTGCTGTTGTTGTTGTTGTTGTTGTGGTTGTGGTTGTGGTTGTGGTTGTTGTTGTTGTTGTTGTTGTTGTTGTTGTTGTTGTTGTTGTTGTTGTTGAACATTATTACTTCTAAAGAATAATTATTGTTGGGACCCCTGGTACACGACCCCCCTCCAAAACCTAGGCCGCAGCTACATTTTCATCATTTTTTCGCGAAAGCTTCAGAAAAGTGGATTAGTACCGGATCCGGTTGTTTTGTTCCCCCCCGTTTTCCCTTGCAAAAAACACTATAAAATGAAATTTCTTGTTCAAATGTAATCCAATTTCAAGAATCCCTTGCAAAAAATAAGCTAAAGTGGACATTCGCGCGTGCAAGACGAAATCCTTCCAAAACCTTAGGTTTCGGAGCGATTTCAACATAAAAACATCAAAAACCCAATGGTTTTTTAAATAAAAAATTGTCAAAATCTCATCCCGCGCGCTCTTGCGGATTCGTAGGAAACCCAACACTTTTTAAACATTTCTGTCAAACGGGCTTTTGCGAGCAACTTTTTCGAACTTCTGCGACAACGGTTGCGCACCTGCCAGGGCCATCATCCCTGTCAAATAATACCATGCGGGACACATTCGTTTTTTCTTCGCGCGCGCACGCCGAAATCTACAAAAACCATTGGGTTTTTAAGAATTTTACCACCGCGCATCATAAAATCACACGAATCGCACCGTAGGTCCTCGAAAAACACCTGCACGACTTTTCAAAATTTCCACCCGCGCGCGCTGTCCGA